CAATGTCCTAATTAATCTGATAGCAGAGTTATGGGGACACTAAATTATTATGTTAATTAAAAATATTTAAACACCAGAATGGCCACTGGGGAGCAGGGGGCTGCTGAAAGAGGCTACAGTAGGTCAGGATAGTCAGACGACCTAAGATTGAATCCATTCCTTGTTAACGAAGACAGCTCAAAACATGGCTGTCCAGCATGATAGTCATAACACTTCTACAGAAATGTCCATGTTTGTGTTCTTAGCGTTTACAGATATATTACACTTGAAAAACATGTTAGGGTTCAATTTTTTTTTTACATTTTCAAATAAAACGAAGTTATTTTAACAATTACACTTTGTTCAGCCATCAATTTAGCAATATTGGTTTTTAAATCAATGATACAGAATTCACAGAAGTGCTTGTCCCCACAGTCGTGTAAAGGGTGAGGACATATTTTGAAATAAAAAAAAACATTTTTCTGCAATATTTAACTACAATAATCCATACATGACTATGGAATATATGATTTAAATGACATAAAGAAAACAAATGCAAATAAATATTATAAAATATATATTGAAAGTTGTGGAGTCGTGTCACTGGTGTTGGTGCATAACAAAAAAATGTCTTTTGACATCACTTGACTTCCTTTTACCTGTTCTCTGAGGATCTATGAAGAAAAGCACATGGTGAGTCCACTGTGTCTTTCAGTTATCAGAGATTTTCTCATTTAGCTCATGATTTCATATGAAGCTTTTAGCTGAAGTCACTGGTGTGACCGACTTTATTCTTAGGTCATTGTGAAAAAATAGAATACAAATGTATTAAATTGCATATTTTAGTGGACATTCCATGATTGACAACATGCGGTTTGATGCTCTGTAGCAGCCATTTCTGTAAAATGCATTTTTCATTAAAAATGTCTCTGGTGTTACCCTTTCTTATGTGTAACACTGATGACGATCAGTAACACCAGTGACTCCTATGGATAGATAGAAAAGTGGACGTTTCTGTAGAACGACCCACTTGTAAATCAGTCGACCATCACGAAGACGTAAACAATAAGAACCTGACCTTATAACATCATATGCAGCCCTGATAGTACACAACAATACATGAAGATACATAGTAAACTAGGCCTGTCTACAAACCTCCATGCCATCCTTATCATTACGATTTGAAATTCCTGCTTCCAAATGAGCATTTAAACCTCTTTGATTTAGCTTACAACAAAATAATGGCTTGTGCAAGTCAAAACGAGAGGCAATCGGGGCGAGCCAGGCTGTGAGGGAGAGACAGATCGAGATTTGGAGAGAGCGAGAGAGAGAGAGATAGTTTTGAAGCTGTAGGGGAGCGTGCCACACACACACCAGGCGGTCTCTAATCCGATCTTACACACATGATCTCTGCCCTTTCTCAGGAAGCATTCAAACGCAAGCCCTAATTAAAACCAAATCACAGCCCGAACACCGCAAACGGCGCCGGAGTGATTTAGAGCAACAGAAAGCCCTCAGCTTTACGAGGAAAACAGAGGTGAGACCTCCAGGCCAAGGCTGCCGATTAAGAAATTAGTTATTGATTTAACAAAAAAGCAGGTTGTTGCATGTAGCCAATTACATACTGTTATTACAAGCTATTACATTGTGGGATAAGTAATGTATCAAGATATGCCAATGGTGATCAACCCCTTAAAATCCCAGGCTCATTACATACTAAGGCTTATTATTCAGTAACTACCGGGACTTCAATGCTAACTGGTTGAGCTATTCCTAGATTATGCAAGTGTGTAATAAAGCTTTGGGCCTGCCGTTGGGCCCTGGCCATTTAAAATATGTCTATTTTAAAATATTTCATTCTCAAGTCAATAGTCAGCTGGCAACCAAGTTTATGTTGGTAACACCAACAGTGTAGCAATTCTTGAAGTGTTAAGGTGACACCAGGCTGGGTTCCCCATGTTGGTGACTGTGGGCTTAATGACTTAGTATGAGATCAGCACTTTATTCACAAGAAGAAAGTTTCCTTTCTGAGGACATTTTCAGTTTAGCCTTTCCTTACGTGACTGTTTCACAACACTTCTGTTTCCCAAATGATGATTTTTATCATGATGATTTTCCACTCAGACGTCCCACTAACAGGATGATTAGTTCAAGGCTAGGCTCAAAGTCCAAGCTTTTTTTTTTTTTTACTGTTTAATCGTTGTTGGTCGCTGGTTGAAAGTAAAGATATGGACAAAATTCAGGTTTCAAGATGACTGTTACTCATGTTGTTTTTAACCCCTTATAATCTCAGGCTTATTACTTAATACCAAGGCTTATTATTCAGTAACTACAGGGACTTCAGTGCAAACTGGCTGAGCTGTTCTTATGTTATAGAAGCGTGTAATAAAACTTTGAGGGATTATAACATTTTAGGATCAGCTTTGTATAGATAATAATATGCCAATAACTATAGATAACAAATGATTACTAAACAACTCACCACAGTTTGGGGTAAGTGATGATTTAGGTATGCAGTTTTACTAAAGCGGGTGATCATTATATTCCATTATTTAGCTTCATTAGCTTCGTAGCAACTCCAAACATGTCTTAGACAACAAACATGTCTTAGCTGGTGAACTACTTTTTAGATAAGGATTATAAATGATATAAATGATTCAGTTAATAGCAGGGATCTAGGAAGTGTGGGTGCTAAGGGTGCTGGAGCATCCCCAGATTTCAGGAAGGCAACTGCTAAAAATAATTACTACAACGAAACTTGCTGAACTACAACCCCATTTCCAAAAAAGTTGGGATACTATGCAGAATGTAAATAAAAATAGAATACAATGATATGCAAATCTTGGAAACCATATTTTTAGAGGAAAAAACTACAAAGACAATGTATCAAATGTTGAAACTGAGAAATTTAATTGTTTGTTGAAAAATACATGCCGGTTTTAAATTTGATGCCAGCAACACGTTCCAAAAAAGTTGGGACGGGGGCCTGTTTACCACTGTGTTTCATCATCTCTTCTTTTAACAACTCTAAGCGTTTAACTGAGGAGACACTGCTGTAGTTTTGAAATTGAATTTTTTTCTCATTCTGGTTTGATATAGGATTTCAGCTGCTCATCAGTTCGGGTCTGCATCCCCTATACGATCATGAATACTGGCTTTGGACTGTACACTGCTAACAAGCCTGACAGTTTTTAACCCGGAGGACACAGTGTCCATAATTTTCAAAAAGAATTTCAAATTTTGATTTGTCGGACCACAGAACACTTTTCCACTTTCCCTCAGTCCATTTTAAATGAGCTCAGGCCCAGAGAAGGTGGCAGCATTTCTGGATCCTGTTTATATACAATTTTTTCTTTGTGTTTAAGAATTGCATTTGTGGATGCAGTGACAAACTGTTTTCACATTCAGTGTTTCTGAGTCCATGCAGTGATTTCCACTGCAGAATCATGTCTGACTGGGATGCCTTTTTATACCCAATCATGTTACTTATTTTGTATTTATCTCAACAAATCAACAACTGTTGGCTGGTTTGAGGGACGTGCTAAAACACACACAAGTTGAGGTGCAAAGAGAGAAAGTCTATGCAAAGTTATAGACTAATTGTGAAGTGCTGCTGTTCGTCAGTGGTTTGATGTGTAATTCATGTATATATATATATATATTGCTGTCTCGCCCAATTGTTGCACTGACACGTTCTAATGTTAACAAAAGAAAAAAAAAGGCACATCATTTTGCATGACATCATCATTCACATATAAGCTGCTTAACATTTCAGCACTGCCCACTTAAAAAACCTTCCCCTATCCTTGGTTACTAGTATTTATCACAATAAATAGTAATTACAATTAACTAAGTAGTAGATACTCAGTAATGTCTAGTAGATGCTACTGTAAGTTACTTAGTATTTACTATGAAACTAAAGTAAACAATGTAGTCAGGAGTGTGAGAAATTGAAGTCTGGGACCCCCAACACTTAAAATTTTGACGCTTTCAAATAGTGAGTAGGACTATCGTTGTATCAGGTAGCCGTGGCATAGAATGCTACACCATTGTCCTTCATAACAACAGAGGCTAATGTTTGCTTGACAAATAGGCCAAAAAAATAGCTTCACATCACATTCAATTCCGGCTCAGTAAGCCTTCATTGATGCTTTAAAGGAAAAAGATTCAAATCCAAGGCATTTTTTTGTGTGTGTTTAGCCATTAGCTATGCTAATATTTTTCCAATATATGGTCCATGGTTGCATTAGAGACTTAGCAAGCAGTCTAAAGCAGTTTCATACACCACAACACAACTTTGATATATGTAAGTTTAGATGTTATAGGTGGCTAAAATAAATACATAATGGTAGTATTTAAAATTTTGACCTTGTCAAATATGGTGTGTCCATACAACTGTCCTTGTAGCAGGTAGCAACGGCTAAGAATGCTATATCACTGTCCTTATTAACACCAGAGGCTAACATTAGCTTAACAATTAGGCCAAAAAATAGCTTCGCAGCACATTCAGTTGGGCTTCAGTGAAACTTCATTGACGCTTTTAAGGAAATCCAAGGCAGATTTTTTTTGTGTGTGTTTAGCCATTAGCTACGCTAATCTTGTTCCATTGTAAGGTTCATGGTAGCATCCGAGGCTTAGCAAGCAGACTAAAGCAGTTTCATACACCACAACACAAGTTCAATATCTGCAAATTTGGGATATAAAAACTCAAATATGAGCGAGTGAAGTTGAGTGGCTGGTGCTGGAGAGACAAAAAGACAGAGTCTAATCTGGTGTGCTGACCTAAGTTGTTAGCCTGTTAAGCTAGTGTTAGCATAATGAGCTCTGCTGAGCACTGTTCAGTATTTATCAGTAGTCATTCAATTTATGGTTTAACAGTTAATGGTGACTTTTCCATGATTTCAATTATGACTTCAATGATAATTTAAGCCTTTAATACTACATACTATTCAAGAACTTCAGGCAAGCAAGTCAAAGTTGGAAGCTGCTGATCTGAATCTGTTTTTCCTTGATCTTTGCAG